TAGCCATAGATAACTTTTGTCACATTGCCCATGTCTTTGTGTCCTTTTGAAATGATTGAATCAACTGATTTTTCTTGTGAAACTTCCTTGTCTTTACAATAAAAAACAGAAGCTAACTTTGAATCAGGGCTGTACCCAGTTTTCTCCTTCGAACAGAGGAGTTGCTGAGGTGCAGTCCCTTCAGGCTTCTCATTGCATTCATGTTGCTTTGAGTAATCCTTTTTTGCATCTGTGTTATACAGCAAGAAGTGTAACAGCCACCCAGTCTCTGGTGTTTTATTATGGCATCCTGAGCTGACTAATACATTGTGTTTCTTGTAAACAGCATATAGTTGTTTTATTTTAATATAACTTGTTTTGGTTATTTACTACTGTGTAACAAGCCATTCCAAAACTTAGTGGTTTAAAACAATGGCAAAATTATTTTGTATGGGACTCACAGGTACAGATAATTTCTGTTCTACTTATCATCAGCTGGGGAAGCTTGAAGACTGGTGATTGGAACCACCTAGAAAGTCATTTACTCACATGTCTGGTGGTAGATGCTGGTTGCCAGCTGGGATCCTTGCTGAGGCTATGGTTGGAATATCACATGTGACTTTCTAAACGGCTGCTTAGCTTCCTCTTCTACACCTTATTCTTTTCATTTGTATATTTTGGAAATTGTTCCATATGAGTTTGTAGAGATATATATATTTATTTTTTGTCTTTTTCCGTGTCCGGCAACGGATCGCAACCCTCAGTGTCGCCCCCGTACCAGACCGGGACTGGCAACGGGATCGCAACCCTCGGTGCTGCTCCTGCGCCTCGCTCAGCCAGTGAGCGGGAACCAGTCTGTATGTGGGATCCGAACCCTCGGCGGGAGCACCACCGCGCTTCCCAAGCGGCGTACTATAGCAGTGCGCCACCGGGCTGGCCCTAGATATTTTTGTTTTTTTAAAAATATAGTCTTTTGATTGAACTATACATACAGAAAATTGCAGAAATCACCTGTGTACAGTTTGATGTAGTTTCACAAAATAAACATATTCATGTAAACAGCACCCAGATTGCAAAAAAGAACAATACCAGAACTTCAGAAGTCTCTGAATGCCACCTTCTAGTCACTCCCCCTGCAAAGGGTCATATTTATCCTCATGTCTAACATCACTGGTACTGTTTTTGACAGAATATTTGTGTTTCCTCCACAGTATTTGGCTATTTATGAATAGTGCTTCTATGAATATCTAATGCTTGTCTTTGGTGAACAAACGAGTATGAACACATTTTTACTGAGTATACTTACATAGGAATGGAATTGTTGGTTTATAGGGTATCCATATGTTCAGCTCTCATAGATAAGCGAAACAGTTCTACAGTGGTTGTATCAATTTACACTTTCACCAGCAGTGTATGCAAGGTTGAGTTGATCCATATTCTCACAAACATTTAGTGTTGTCAGTCTCTTTAATTTTAGCCTTTCTGGTGGGTGTGTAGTGGTGTTTCATTATGGTTTTAACTTGCATTTTCCTAATGATGTTGAATACCTGTTATACGTTTATTGATCATTTATATATCCTATTTCGTGGAGTGCTTCTTCTTTTGCCTTTCTTATTCTTTTTTTTTTTTTTCAGCTGACTGGCATATATGGTAGTTTATTCAACCAGTTCACTATGGAAGAACATTTAGGTTATGTCTAATATTTTACTATTACAGATAATGCTGCAATGAATAACCTAGCTTACATGTTGTTCTTGTAATCATTCTTCATACTTCTGTTTTTGTGTCTTCACATCCAATCAGTCAGAAAATTCTATTAGATCCATGACATAAAAAGGAGCACAGATACACACTACTAGTGACAGGTTGTAATAGGACAAAGTGAAGTTTACAAAGACAAACATACGTAGAGGAGCAGCAGAGTACACAGTCACCTGACCTCTTATTATTCATGGAGTCCTGTGCTTGGATCTGCACCATCAAAAAGGAGCCAGACCAGGAAAGGGACCTTGCCCCTGTGTTACTTTCTGTGTTTATAGGGAAGCTGGAGGTAGGACATAGAACATTTAGTGTCCAGCTTAAAATCTCCCAGTGGCTTTTAGGACATAAATAGATAATTGTACTATTAAAATTCCATGGTGGTGGGAGTGAGGTAATATAAAGTTATAAGCCTCATGTTTAACTGAGCGTTAACTGGAATTTATAACTGAATCTAGCTGCTACAAGTATCAGTTAGCAGTTTAGCAAAGAACTAATCATAAATTTTAAATTATATCTGTCTGTATCTAGTTTCTTTTTATAATAAAATTGATGTTTTTTTTCCAAGTCTATTTGCTAAGAATGAAAAGGAGCTTTTCTATAATCATAAGGGATTTGGTTTACTAGTTTTTATAATCATATAAGAAATTTGGTTTACCACTGACCTAACTCTGAGACACTCCAACTTTAAAAGTGGCTGTGGAATGTAACCTGTGTGCTTGCCATCATTGTTTGTTGGTTAAAGACAATTATACTTTCTCATTATATGTTAGTTAAAGAAAATTACATTTACTAGAATATGTTTGTTGTAGGCATTAAACATACCCACCAACCCTTATGATGTACATACCAGCACTATAATCATTAGTTTGCAGTTTTTAATTTCTGACTTGAATCTGTGACTTCACAAAAACATCAGTGGTCTTTGTCTCTACTGGTCTATTTGTAATAAACTTAATTATTCTCAGAGATTTAATTAAATATATAAATGCAAGAGTTTCTCTGTCACTGAGATACAACTTTTAGAAATAACGTGTGTCTTTACAAGGTGTCGTTCAAGGAAGACAAATATATAAAAATTCTTCATGTCATCAGAGTTTATATTATTCTTCTGGAATGGGAGTTATTATTCCTATTTTGCCAAAAAGTACAAGAGGGTCAGTGACTTAGGTCAACAGCTGCTTTCTGGAAAGACAAAGACCATAACTTGAATCATCTATTACAAATTAGAAATTCCCTTTCTTTAACAAATTCCCAATGTCTTTAACATTGCTGCGCAAAATTGAAATACTTATGTGACTCAAAAAACCAAATAAAACCAAAAACCATAATAAATGCTAAATCAGATGAATATCCTTGAAGTAGTTTCTGGATTTGAGAGTTGCTCAGAAACTAATAAAGATTATTTGTTCTATTGGTTAAAATGCTAGAAGCTAGTTTGGTTAGGTTATGAAAATTCATTAAAGTCTTTATGTGAACAGTAACAAAAATGTACTACATATTAAAAGTTACTTATTTGCTTATTTTGTCCACCATTTTCAGGTAGGGGCTTTGGCATTTCAACAAAATTCACATCCAACTTGTTTTGGGTCATCAATTCCTTGCAGTTGATTATTATTCTCCAGACATTCCCCTGGGCCAAGTCTTATAACCAAAATACTCCTTTAATAAAAGTAATAATTGTGAATAGGTATAATAACTCCATAAAGTCATATGAAATAGATGGAGCTATCAGTATTCAACAAATGAAGAGGATAAATTAATGTCTATGAGTAAAAGAGTAAATGGATATCAGTAAGAAGTGGCAAACTCATGCTTTCATTTGCCAGGAATATCATCTTTGGTGGTTGTGGTTAATGTCAATTACTGAAATAATTAAGTGAATATGGAGAAATCCAGAGATGAAAATATTGAATAATCAATCAGTGTGTTAATGTCTACTCTGTGCATGACATTTCCACAGATTCTGTGGGAGATAGAGCCATGTATAAGGCACAGCAATGATTTCCAAATACGTTATAGTTTGACTCATAAAGCAATGTTTGATACAGACATAACAGAACTTTAGGGCTTGAATAAAATAGAGAAAGTTTTATAACTTGAATAGGCCTTAGAGATTACCTAGCCTAATCATCAGTGTTAAGAAAATAATTTAGTGAGACCTTAAAATGTAAGTTATAATTTTAACTTATGTAGCAGGCTCACTCCTTTTATATTTTTTATTTTCTTCCTTTGTATTGAGTGTGTGCTAGTTCTTTGACGTTACTGCTTCTCAAGCTAAGGTATCATCTGTGAATAGATGCTCCTGGTCACCTAGTGGTCCCCAATAAGGGTCTGTCCTTGCCCATTGATGACCAGGGAAGGGGGTGGTTCTTTTCTGCCTCTTCTGACACCATATCATCTGCTTTTTCCCCAGAGCTATTGGGCACTCACGATAGCGAGAGGTGCGAACCCAAATTCGGACACATGAAGGCAGAAAAAGAGATGATGACAACTGTGCTGTAAATGGGAAAATAAGCATGCCCTGGAGAATGCTCTGAAAAGGAGAGCTATGAATATATTGTCAGCCACCCAGAAAAAGGCATAAGTGGACTTTATGATCAGTGCGGTCAGATATCTATTTTTATTTATTTTTAATTTTATAATTATTATTATTATTATTTTTTCATTGAAACATAATTGATATTATCTATTTGTGGGGTACAGAGTTGACTATCAATACTTATGTATAATATGTGATGATCAGATCAGGATAATTAGCATATTCATCATTACAATATGGCATCATTCTTGTGCCCAATTTCTCGCTCCCCCTCCCAGATATCCATTTTTAAGTATATATTTGTCCTGCACTGTAATATTCCTTTATTGTCCTTAAGTCTTATGTAAAATTTATAAGCTGTACCTTTAAGTATATAAGGAAAAGCAGACTGTAGAGAGATGTAGCCCTGAGACGTTGTTACAAATTGGCCAGAGTGGTCTGGGTGGGGAGAAGCTCTGAGCCGCTGACTAGAGCAGGGTCAATGAGCCACTACTTTGTAGATCCTGAGAACTTGGATTCCTCTTATCAAAGAAAAGGGCAACCTCAGAAGACTGGAACACTTGGGGATGCATGGCTAGTTTGACCATAGAGGAATGCACAGTTTCAGAGACTAGAGGCAAGATTCTCAGAACTGATAATGGCTAAATTGAATCTAGAAAGAAAAGAGGGACTTAACCAAGTGCAAAAGAGCTGAGAGGGCATTCCAGCAAGGGAAGAGGGCATGAAAAGATCTAGAGACTTCAGAGAGCTCAGCATGTTCAGAGGCATGGAAGTAGTTCAGTCAGGTGAAGGAGTGGTGAAGGATGTGTCAAATATTGCTAGAGCAGGAGACAGCATGCAATGCTTGCAGACCATGGGAAAGAGTGTAGATTTTATTCTGAAGAGCCAACAAGATCAAACTTGCTTTAGCAAGATCACTCTGGCTGCAAGGAGTGTACCAGAAACAGGGGAACCAAGAGGTAGGAATACCCACTGGAGACTGTTGTGATTGAATGAAGAGATGGTAGTGGCCTGAACTGAAGCTGAAGCTGTGGGAATTGGAAGGCGGACATATGTAGAAATGTTAAAGAAGGAACAGCATGTGGTAATTGATTAAATACTATATATCTGTATGTAGATATATAAGTCTATATCTATTTATCTATCATCTCTCTATCTACCTAACTACCTATCATCTATCCTCTCTCTATATACAGTTGTGCATTGCTTAACGACAGGGTTATGTTCTCAGAAATGTGTTGTTAGATAACTTTGTCATTGTGTGAACATCATAGAATGTACTTATACAAACCTAGATGGTATATACACTCTAAGGCTATATTGTATAGTCTATTGCTCTGTGAAGGTTAATTCTAGGTATCAACTTGATTAGATTAAGGAATGCCTAGAAACGTGGTAAAGCTATCTTTTAAGGTATGTCCATGAGGGTGTTTCCAGCAAAGATTAGTATGAGATCCTGAGTGCACTGGGTGGGAAAGACCCACCCTCAATGTGTGTGGGAACCATCCAATCCGCTGGGGGCCCATAGAGAACAAAAACAGAGGAAAAAGGCGAAGCTCTCTTTCTATGTCCTGGAGCTGGGATACACTCTTCTCTCCTGTCCGTGGACATCAGAGCTCGAGACTCTTCAGCTTCTGGGTTCCAGGACTTGTACCAAGGACACCATCGGCTTCCCTGGTTTCAAGGCCTTTGGATTTGGATTGAGCCACGCTACCAGCATCCAGTTTGCAGACGACCTGCCGTGGGACTTTTCTTCACAATCGTGTGAGCTAATTCCCCTAAAAAATTTGCTGTCATATATTTATAACATATCCTATTGATTCTGTTTCTCTGGAGAACCCTGACTAATAAATGCCTGTAGGCTACAAACCTGTATAGCATGTAACTGTACTGAATACTGTAAGCAACTGAAATACAGTGGTATTTGTGTATATAAACATATCTGAATATAGAAAAGGTACAGTACAAATGTGATATAAAAGATAGAAATGGTACATCTGTATAGGACACTTACTATGAATGGAGTTTGCAGGACTGGAAGCTGTTCTGGGTGAGTAAGTGAGTGAGTGGTTAGTGAATGTGAACCTCTAGGACATTACCGTACACTGCTGTAGACTTTATAAACAATGTACACTTAGGCTACACTAAATTTATTAAAAAAATAAAGTAATGGCACCATGACATTATGACGGCTACAATGTCACTAGGTAATAGAAAATTTTCAGCTCCACTATAATCTTATGGAACGACCATTATATGTGCAGTTAGTCATTGACCTAAATGTTGTTATGTGGTTCATGACTGTACACACACACACACACACACACACACACACACACAGAGAGAGAGAGAGAGAGAGAGAGAGAGAGAAAGAGAGAGAGAGAGGTAGTACTTAAGGTTTTTAACTTGGGCAGCTGGGAGAATAATAGTACCATTACCAAAAATTGTAATCAGAGGGAAGGGGTTTAGTGGAAGGAGAGTGGACTGGGAGTGGGGGGAAAGGGGAGACGACAAGGTCAATGTGGGACAAATTTAGATTGAAGTGAAACTTTCAAGTGGAGATGTCCAAATATTTATACATATGGTCTGGAGATGAGGAGAGAGAAAATGAACTAGAGTTGTTGAAATGGAGCTATAATCATATGAAGAGTGTTTGAAATTAAGTGATCGAGTGAGCTCATCAAAGGAGAGTCTTCACATGACAGCAGATTTTAGAGACCATTGAACTGGTGCAATGTGCTCTTTTACTACTCAGATCTTAAGTGCTAACATAAGATTCATAGGGGTCGTATTAATATGTTTACTTTTTAAATGTCTAATATTCTAAGCTTTAGAAATCTTTAGTAATCTACCAAAGGTCCTATGGGAGGTCTTTAGTTTTAGCTCTCACTTGTCTCCAAGATTGGAAGGCAGTTCAGGAGTCATACTGATGTCCTAGTGTTTATACCACTATACAATTGGCCCTTCAACAACTTGGGTTTGAACA